GGCTTTAACATGCACAGGAGCCTGCCCCCCATACCTGGAACGGAAGCTCGAGAAGCTGGCAGGGAATCTCCATTAAAAGATCCAGGTGCACATGAGATTTGTTACCATAGTCCACAAAAAACACCTACAGAGTGAAGGCAGCACACAAACATTAGTGCGGGGACAGGGGCCGTGTCCTGCCCCACGCCCTGCCCCTCATTCCATGCGGTCATCTCCTCTGCTCCACAATCGCAGGACTCTGGGGCCTGAGCTTCACCCACATATCACTGAGGGGGGACCTTTCCTACCAGAGCACTTTGCTAACTGTGATTAGTCTATATCTAATTTCCACATGAAGCCAGAGAAGACCGCGTGGACTGAGTGCCCCGCCCCGAGTGAGGCTGTAGAGCGCACCTCGGCAGAGCTCCCAGACACATACAGGATCTGCGCCCTGAAGTATCTCTGCTCCTCAGAGTCAGCGAAAGGTGCCAGGCAAACCAGGTCTGGGTGCGGGTGGACGGCCAGGGGCACCAGCTTCAGGTGGTTTATCTCAGCAGTGAGCTTCTTCAGAACCACTGCGTTCTTCTCGTCGATCCTGTACCCCCAGAAGTGCCCCACTTCAACCACCTACGAGAGGAGGGCGCGGCAAGGTGAAGTCCACCCGTTCAACTGCAGGCCAACACCCACAAACCACACTCCCTGCCGCACGAGGAACCACTGGGTTCTAACAGCGCAGGAGAAAGGGGTTCCGTGGTCAGCCAAGGTGAGGACGTGTGCACCCTGGCCCTGCCCTGGAGATGCGAGCCTCATCGCCAACACCACAGCACGATGGGCGGGGAGGAAAGGGGCTTGGCTGTCCCAGGGAGAGGGCCCGCCGGGCAGCCCCGCCCACTGTGGCCATCCAACTGCCAGGACTGTAACTGCTGGGGTCCTGGCTGTCCTGAAGCCAAGTTTCCATGTGGCATCTCCCCATGAAGTGCAGCTACAGCCTCACCAGGAAGCGTCTGTACTTCAACTTAAATTTTATCTCACACCCTACAGAGCAATGGTGCCGGTGCTGACGCTGACAGACTCCATTTTACAGGCATATTCCATTATGCCAATTAATATTTTTACATGCAGCTTGTGGCTAAACTGACTTTTAGGGTTTTAAATGAATCTAACACTTTAAAAATTCAACTTTGAATCTAGAAAGAATATTTGTGTTTCATTTTGTGTCCCAGCCACGTTTTGGTTTACCACCCCCACCCCCCGACGACTATGGTGCACACTGTGTGTGTGTGTATCACGTGACAATTCCAGAAGGAGCAGAGCTCCAGCGACCCCTACCTCTGTGATGTCGATCGTCAGGAAGAGATCTGACACCACCCGGGACCTGTCTGCCGTGTTAAAGGACACCTGGACGGGGTCCACTGTCTGCTTCTGGAAATCCACATTCACTCTGTTCAACGGGAGTTTTGAAAACAGACAATAAATGCCAAGTGTTACAAAGAAAACACACTGATATATGAAGGTACTGCAGGAACAAGCCCACTGTCTCTACAAGACAGGAACATGCTGGCCGGTTTGTCTCAGTGGTTAGAGCATCAGCCCGCAGACTAAAGGGTCCCGGGTTTGATTCCAGCCGAATGCATGTACCTTGGTGGCAGGCTTGATCCCCGGCCCTGGTTAGGGCATGTGTAGGAGGTAACCAATCACTGTGTCTCTCACACACCAATGTTTCTCTCTCTCTCCCTCCCACTCTCTCTGAAAAGCAATGGGAAAAATATCCTCAGGTGAAGAATAAAAAAAAAAGACAGGAACACGCTAATTAAATGCACAGGCCAGAGACAACCAATCTGACCCCTCTCAAACTGGAGTTCCTGCTGGCTTCCTGCGTGGCCTGGAGGGGTCTGCACCGGAGTCACACGCCCTGCAGGGATATAGCTTACAGAATCTCTATCTCGAGGGTGTAGATTCTAAATCCAGGGCCTGTGATGTCTGCTAACATGTGGTTCAGAGGGGAGTGTCTCTGACCTTTAGGAAATGACAGGAATCCGTGCAGGGTCCAACGTTACAGGAAACACACACCTGTTTCCTATACACCCAGGAAACAGCACTCATCCAGTAAGACAGTAAAGTTCAAGAACATGAAATACAAGTTTGCTGATAACAACTTTCCCTTCCTAAGGCTTTCACTCTAATGTGAGGAGGAAGAATTACAGCAGAGATCCCTCCTGGTCCAGCTCTCTTCCCAGTTTTCAGCCCCTACTTATTAAATAAGAGCAACTCAGGTGAAATCACTCAGCTGGACGGGTCTTCTCTGTGGTCCAAACCCTAACACACCCCAACTCTGAGTCCAGACAGCCCCAATTGGGTGGGCTCCACGGCACACACCACCCTCACCAGGTCCTCAAGTTCCTCTGGAATAGACTTTCAAACAGGAAATGATGGAGGGTTCCTACACACACACCGTGAGGACTTGGCCCCAATGCGAAGTGATCTGTAACAATGCTGACGGGAGATTTAATTTGGTCCAAGAGAAGAAAATCCACATGCTTAATGGCAGCTGCCAAGCAGTGAGTGCCACAGTGTAGCCACCAGACCCAGCGGCAGCCCCGCCCCTCCTCCAACGGGGCAGGGAAAGGCCACTCACAGGGAAGGGCTAGCCTGTGGGGGTAAGTGACCAGGTGCTCTGAGGTCCTCCACCCTGTCCACTGTCTGTCTGCTGAGAGCAGAGAACACCCCACTTTGCTCAGAAAGAGGAAATGGAGGGCTGTAAGGAGAGAAAAAGGAAACTAATCTTAGGTTGAACCCCTACTGTTTCAACTGGACATTACATAAATGAGTTCCCGAAACCCCCTCAGCAGCCCTATTAATCCCCTTGACACCGTATTTATTACACAGAGGTGGCTCAGAAACAAAAGAGTAAACAACTAAAAAATGGGCAGAGGACCTGCACAGACATTTCCCCAAAGGTCACCGGATACGTGAGCAGGTGCTCAGCATCAGCAGTCATCAGGAAGTGCAGACAAAATCACGTGAGCTACCACGTCACCCCTGTCAGAACTGCATCATCACGACAGCAGGCGAGAGATGCTGAGCACGCGGAGAACAGGGGCCCTCACGCACTGCTGGTGGGACTGCCAACCGGTGCAGCCACTGTGGAAACAGTATGGAAGGTCCTCAAAAACTTAAAAACAGAGCTACCATACGACCCAACAACCCCTCTTCTGGGTATTTAGCCAAAGGGAATGAGAGCACTAACTTGAAACATATCTGCACCCCCATATTCACCACAGTCAAGGCTCAAAAACAACTTAAGTGGAGGTCGACAGAGAATGAACAGGTACAGAAGTTGTGACGTATGTTATTCAGCCACAAAAACACGAGGAAATCTTATCATCATGACAATGTGATGGCCCTTGAAGGCACTATGCTAAGTGAGACCTAAAACAAAAAGACCCACAAAAACAAACTTGTAGAAAGAGATCAGACTTGTGGTTATCGAAGGCGGGGGAGAGGAGGGGGGAAGGTGCTCAGAAGATACAAAGGCCCAGCTACAGATCCTACATCCTCGGAACCTACACACAGCAAGGTGGCTGCGCTAACGCCGCCACACGGCAGACGGGACAGTGTTAACAGTAAGTCCCGAGGTCTGTCACGAGGAGGTTGTTTTTCTTCTCTCCCCCCTGTACCCATCTGGGAGGAGGGATGCTAGTGGGCCTCTGTGAAAATCCCTTCACAGGTAAACCACACCTCATGCCTACGCCTTCCACTCACACAGTGATGTATCCAGTGAAACTGGGGGAAAGACGAAAAGCTCTGAGGTTCAGAGAGGTCGAGGAACGTGCCGAGTACACACAACCAGGAGACAAAATCGGGATTCGAAGGCAGAGCTACCTGGCTTCACGGCCGGTGCTTTTAGTGGGAGCTTAAGTGAGGTTAGTCATTTAAAAATATTGAGAATGCAAGGTCCTGCCCACCTCCCTCTGCAAATACCTTGTGCTCCTGAGCTTTGAGACAGCGCCTCCCTGCACCCGGCCTTCGATCTCCTCTGCAGAGTGCACGCTGAGCTCCAGGGGAACTTTGAGCTGAGACATCTTAGCCGCCATGTACACCGCAGGGAGAACCGTAAACCTCTCTGTCGGGTTCCGGGAAAACTCCACAAAGGCCCTGCTCCGCAATGTGAGTAAAATGAAGCATCAGGGACCTGGAAAAGTGCACACCAACCCCTCCCGAGATGAGGCACATTCGTTCGACCTCTCCTCAAACACCAGTGACTCTTCACTCACTCAGAACAAATGAAACTACAACGGCGCATCATTAAACTAGCACCAAGGACCGTTCTGTGTGATATACGGATGGGCTTTTCAGTTAAGAAATCTTAATTTTCATAATTAGAACAGAATGGCAGGTTTTTGGCTTTTCTATTTTATTGTAAAATAAAACACAGACAAGAGAAAACCACACACATGGGCAGCTGGATCTTTGTGAGCTCCCTCCAAATACCAAGTTTATCACCCAGCAAGGCTGATGGACACCCCTCCCTGGTCACCCCAGAAGGGGGGCAGTCAAGCTGCAGGTGCCTGCTCGATACATCCCTTTCAAGTTTACATGGGTTTGTATCCTACTGTCAAATACCTGAGTCAGGACATCACCACCCCCTTCCCTGCCCAACTGCCAGAAGGGCACGGAGCCAGGAAGAGGTCAGTCAGGCACAGCATGGGCCTCACAGGAATGGAGTGGCTGCTCCAGCCTTCCGCAGGGGACACCTCTGGAACCTTCCGCCTCCCTGCCCCCCACCCTAAGCCCCTTCTGCCCTCCCTGACTGCTACCACGCATATCTGCCTCCGGCCCACACCCACAAGCACTCGGTGTTCAGAACTGGCTCCTGTGACCATGAAGACATCATGGCTCTCTCATCACCGCAGTTGGTTATAGAAACCCACGACTTACTTGGCACCGTCGAACACGATGGACTTGACCTGGCCGCACTGCCTGAACAGGGACTGGAGCTGCTTGTGGTAGAGGAAGCCATAGGGGGGCGTGTGCTTCAACTGCAAAACAGCAAGCACTCCTCAGAGCCACGGGCCGCCGCCCGCGCAAGGCCACTGCATGCACCCCAGCTCGCTCGCTCGCTCTCTCTCTCTCTCTCTCACACACACACACACACACACACACACACGGCTGCCGCTGCTGCCAACCAGAGATGCAGACTCCATAGATGAGTGTATTTAAACACTAGTGACTTTTAAGTTGTAACTAAATTTAATAAATATGTTAAACAAAGGCTAACTCTCCCATTAAGACAGCTGGAAAGTCTAGCACTGAGAGACTGATTTGCTCTGCGTGGCCAGAAGTAAACCGACACCACGACCCACACTGAGCAGCTGCAAGCCCTCTGCCCCGGTGCAGCCTCCGCTGTCCTGTCCTAAGCCAGAAGTCCCTGCCCTGCAACCAGGTCCCATTTATCTAAGGCCAATTCCAGCTCCACAAGAGGCAGCAGGTCTGAGTGCAAACCCTGCCCCACCAAGTGTCCCTAGGACTTAGCAACCACAGCACAAAGAATGGGGGATGACGAATCCCCACTCAGAGGGCCGGTGAGGGGCTTGGAGCACTTCACAAAGTAGACTCCAGCTATCCCTGTGTTTATAATGCGCACAGAAGGTAATTTGGGACCCCAGCGTGCATGGTGGGTGCAGGAGGCAAGCCCACCCCTTGTGCCCAGGTGGGAGACATACCAGGAAGGGCTGAGGGGAAGCCAGCAGAAGGCCCGGCCCATCGATGATCAAGCCCACGCCCTGTGAGGTGAGCATCCCTCCCGGGGGTTTGTGTATCGTCCCACCTGAGCACCAACTCCCGTCTGTGCTCTGCCAAGGTCCCTGTGCTGCTCCCCGTCTGTGACCCCTCCCCACCAGCCCCACCTTTTCTGTACTAGTGGTGATGCAATAGTGACAGGAAGAAGAGCCAGCAACGCCCGCATGCCCGCCGCAGCCCCACACTAGGTGAGGCCATCGTGGGCTCAGCCTGATGAGACGTCCACAAGGCTGGCCTGATGGTCAGTCCCTGGGGCTGATCATAAGATTCACCCTAACCCCACAGGGGTCCAGGCTGTTTCAGGGCCACACCTTCTAGTTTGGCAACTGTGGGTGAAGCCCTCAAATATGAGGGGCGCTCCGGTCTGGGGACCATGGTACAGACTGCAGTGCCAGGCAGCCAACAAACCACCTTTCACTTTGTGTGAAACAAAACTGTGGATCAGCAAAATGTGCTCAACCTCACAGAGAAGTGCTTTAATCCCTCCAAAATGGCACATGGCTTCAGCAATAGCCACGAGCATGTAACTTCTTGAGGCTCTAAGGCCAGGTGTGCAGAAGAGCAAGACGTCTATGCCAGGCCAGCAAGCTGTTAACGTTCACAATGGGAAATGCACTGAGGGCTTGCACACACAGAAACCACTGGTGAACCTAGACGCTGTGTGGGCCACACTGAGGTGGAGCCCCTCTCCTGGGGATGGCGGCCTGCCCCCCACCTACCACGATGGTCGTCTTGGGGTCCTTGCCGGCCAGCTCCCTCACCGCCATCTCCTCGTCCGGTTGCCCGAAAGTGAAGTAGTTTGGATAGAAAGCACCTGCCAACACAACCTGGAAGAGAAATTTATTTCCATGAAGTAACAGCACCACTTTACAGCCATCTCACTCCTCCCAGAAGATGTGACACCTATGTGGTAAAAGGTCAGTTCTTATAAAAACCAGACCATTTATACTCAGGCACAGTCACAATTCTGGTTTATTTCACCATAACAGCACGCACTAGGCACAATCTCCCGTCGAAGGAGCCTGAGTACTTCTGACGTGAGCTTTAGGGAAGGTGGGAAGCTGAACTGGGTACAGGTGAGTGGATGCGGCAGGTGCAGCCCCGCGTGCCGTGTACGGACTCCCACTCCGGGCACTCCCGTGGCTGGTATGGGACCCAGCAAGTGCACGACGTCAGAGCAGCAGCCCCACCAGGTCCACCTGTGGAGAGCACTCTGCAGAGGTCCCTCTTCAGTAAAAATACTCTCTGAGGCATACGCCTGCCCTACAGCAACCTGACCAGCACAAATGCACCCCTCTTCCAGTAATGGCCCCAAGCTCAGCTCCCTCTGTCTCAGCTAACGTGCTGACATGCCAACACGTGCAGATGCCCTCCCCAGACGCTCCATGACGGTTCAGCCACCTTCCAGGACACACTCCCTCTGCAGTCCCTATAAGGTTCCATCTGACCAGCCCATCAGGCCACAGCTTCGAGTTGTAATGATATTTTCAGTGTAAGTAGCTACACAGGGTGAGTATTATTAAGAGGGTTTTTACTTTCTGGACAACTGGAGGCTCTATCAGAGCAGTCGCTCAGCTGTGTGTGAAAACACCATGGAGATCAAGAGGGGGTCAAGGCCATCAGCTCAGTGAATGTATAACCCAAACTGTGAGGCGGTGTGTTATGCATCAGGAAGGGGAAGGAGAGCTTCCCAACCAGACCCGCTGCAGACAGACCCCTGCCGTCACCTGCAGGATGAACCTCTGCTTGTACGTGTACTCTTGGTCCAGGACCGGCCGCCGGGAGCCTACACTCATGTTGAACTGGGAGATTCTGCTCTTCAGCTCTTCGTACAATTCAGCCACCTAAGGCAAACAGAGGGACCTGTGACGTCCCAGAGCACCCGTGCACTCTGAGCAGTAAGAACACCATGACCCATAGGGAGAGCACCGATCCACCTAGGGTAGGCGCTGCTGTGCTCACAGGCATCTTATAAAGATTAACTAACATGAATAAAAAATGCTCGGACACAAACTTCCTACATATTGTGATCCCAATGTCCCAATGTCCAAACACAAGCACATGTGAAACCACCAAGAACACACAACTACAGTTGGCTGGAGGTAGCAAAAGGGCAGGTGACCAGGACCACATCGTCTGCTCTAAAGTCCTCTGAACACTTCCAAACCCCTGCTACAACTGTGCACTGCTCCTGTGATTAAAAACAAGCCAAGAGACCCAACAGTCACTCTGACCAACATCCCGCTGCCATATAAACGTTTCACACCAAACACCAAACCTCGAGTGCACACACACGAGAACAAAGCTCCAGATGCCTCCAAGCCAATCATTAAATAAGTCACCATAAAGTTATCAACAAATTACAGAGTAAACACCACACAAACCACAAGTGGGACCATAACTAGAGAAACAACTAAAAGGACCTGGACAGGCAGCCATGAGAAGGGAGGGAAGCCTGGGAGGCAAGAAGCTGAGCCACCACGTGCAGCTCGAGCATTTCCGGGTTGCTGAACACCTTCCTATACAGCTACAGTCACACGTAACCTAGTTAATAATCAATTTAAAATTATGCAAGTTACTTACTCTGGTCAAATGCAATAAAATCATAAGTTAGCAACAAAATAAAATATCTAAAAACATTTTTCTCTCCCTGGAAACTAAAATACTCCTAAAAATCTCTTTCACTGCCCGGCCAGGCGTGGCTCAGTGGTTGAGCATCGACCTAGGATCCAGGCGATCGGGGTTCGATTCCCGGTCAGGGCACATGTCCAGGTTGCGGGCTCGATCCCCAGTCGGGGGCGTGCAGGAGGCAGCTGGTCAACGACTCTCTCATCATTGATGTTTCTCTCTCTCTCCCTCTCCTTTCCTCTCTCTGAAATCAATAAAGATATATTAAAAAAAAATCTCTTTCACTGAGGAGGAAACCAACACTACAAAACAGTAGGACATGGTCCAGGCTGGGCACAGGAAATTCATGGCTTCACCTTACAAACACTTAATGTATCAATGAATTAAATTCCCATCTCAGGAAGACTAAAATAATAAACCCAGAGACATGAAGACTAAAGTAATAAAAAAGCAAAAATCAATTAAAATCCTCTGCCTTTCCCCTTCCCCCCAAAAATCTACACAGTACAATCAAACAAAGAGTAAGCGCTCTGAGCTCTGGCCGGTGTGGCTCAGTGGTTAGAGTCCAACCTGCACACAAAGGGTCTTGGGTTCAACTCCTGTCACTGGCCCGTACCTGGGTTGTAGGTTTAATCCCCGGCCCTGGTCAGGGTGTGTGCGGGAGGCAACCAGTTGATGTCCCTCTCACATCGATGTTTCTCTCTCTCTCCCCCCCCTTCCATTACCTCTAAAAATCAATGGAAAAAGTATCCTCAAGTGAGATGAACAGCAAAAAAAGGGGTAAGTTCTCTGAAAACACAGTAAAGCAGGCTAAGCACCCTGTAAACTGTGCAGTAAAGCACAAACTGAGCGGGCCTGGGGAGTCCTCACCCAGCACATTCCAAACGAAGGTATGGCTCCTGGGACACCCCTGAGCCCTGGAACTTCCCGCCTCACAACAGTGTCTGCCCAGCTGCGGCCTTGCACACAGCAGTTCATGGCCACATGTCACTTACACACGGAGGGGCCTGGGCCAGGCAGTCTCAGCATGGCCTCTCGAGGGCTAAAGCTAAGTCACTAGGACCAGCCACATGTGCACCCCACGCCTACCTCACCTCCCTCACCAGGCCTCAATAAAACCCAGGGCACCAAGGCTGGGGTGAGCACCCTGGCTGGCAGGGCTGGGTCCTGGTGTCCCGCGTCACTGCTGGGGGAGCCAGTCATGCCCAGGACCCCCCACAGGCCTCCGCCCCTGCTGGTTCCCTCACTGTCCTTTCGCTGTAAGAACCCACAGCCACAGTACAACAGCTGCGCTGAGTTCTGTGGGTCCCTCTAGCCAATCCCTGAGCCCGAGGGTGGTCCTAGGGACAAGCCCACCAGCACACAAATCTAATCAAGAAACAAAGAGGACACAAGTACCCAACATTCAGAATGGCGAGGGTGATGCTACCGCTTCTGAAACGGACTATTACTCAAAACTGTGTGTAACTGCATTATCTAAATCTATGTAACTAGGTAACTCTGTGTGAGGTACATAAAGCATAACTAGTACTTTACACAGATATATTTACATAGGTAACATACACATATATAAATCCTACTGGCACTGGAAGCGGGATGCCCTTCCTGGAACACCCTCACTGCCCTGGGTGCTACAACTTACCTCTCTAATTCTCTTGATCTGAATGTAATTTAACCGTCCCCAGTCAAGTTCATCCTTGAATACATAAAAGCATAATACTCAGCATTAATGTAGCAAATCAGAGCTAATTTGGCCAGTGTAATACATGCTTGTCATCCAAAAATACATACCAAAAATAATACATAGCAACCAAGAAATAATAGAACTAACTCTGTAAAGGAAGGCTCTGCCAGGTGACTCAGTACTGTGAGGACACCTTAAGTCTGGCAAATTCACACACACACAGACGTACCAGCAGCCTCCTGAGCCTCATCCATTTAGAACAACAAATCTGATCAAAAAGGGGGCAGGGGAACTAACAGGCTGAGTTCTTTTAAGCCCATTATCCAAAAAACAGCCAAGGGAAGGCTTCAGGTTCTCAGAGCAGAGCCAGCAGGAGTGAGCGCCCCAGTGGGAGAGGCTCTGGACACTCAAAAGGGTCACGACTGCCCAGAGGAAGGGCAGCCGGGTCTGTGTGTGGCCTGCCCCCACCAGAGGACAGTGCAGTGGCCTGGCTCAGGCTCAGGCTCCCCCATCTCACAGGCAGCTTGGGCTGAGCGAGAGAGCAGCCTCAGGAAGCCCTCCCTGCCCCCCATGGCCGGATGCAAAGACCTACCTTTGGATGCCGCAGCTCCCCTCTCTGTCTGCAGGACTGCCAAGTCTAAAAAAACAATGACCCTCAGTTTCAAAATACTCTACGGGTAACTTGAACTTTTTTCTAAAAGTCCAATTTCAACACAGTTGGACCACAGACAATGTACCAATTTTCAATCACCTTCATAAAACTGGACTCCCACCAACATCCATGTCTTCCAACAGCTTATTTTTAATATTAGACATCAACAGCCCTGACCATACTTTCGACAGAGAAATGTTTATAGCGTGAAAACCTACAAACAACGGGCAGCAGCTCTCCCGGCCCCCAGAGAACTTACTTTAAATGCCTCCACCAGGGCGATGCAATCACTCTTACTATTGCCAGAGAAATACACTTTGTTCCTATAAATGGACAACAAACAGTGTCATTCGATATCAGTAAGAGAAAGTGGCTCTTTACAATGTGAGTGTTAGATACCTGTATCCATCAAGGTGCTGCCTAAAAGGCATTGCAAAAAAGTTCTTCAAAGACAGTGCTGCGGCTGACAAGGGAAACCAGTGTGAGGAGGAGAGCACATCCCAGGTGAGCGCCTCGCCCTCACCTCCACGCCTGCGCTCACCTATGATGAGACACTCGTCCAAACACCCAAATACGTGGCCCAGAACAACGAGTTTACCGAGCTGCTCGCTGACAGGAAGCTGGGCTAACACTCTCCCCAAGAAGGTCAGCTCACCATCGTGGGGATTCTCGTCTTCTCTCTGCCCGCTCACGGCGAGGGCACCCACCTTTGTAAACAGAGTGGTGCCGTAAGCAAACACAGACTTACACTCCTTTTCCTTAAGGCAGGGAGTTTAAAACACAAAGTGAAGACCAGGTCTGGTGAATACAGGCTCTAAAAGACATCTATGTCGACTTAGGAAAGACTGATGCTACAAAAAATATTTTTAATTTGATTTTTGGAACTCAGAACACATTTATTATTTTTATAGAGAATGCCAACACTCAAGGCCAGTCCCACAAATGTCTATGTGACTCATAATCTAACAGCGGGGCCTGCACAACACTAACCAAAGATCCCATTAGCACATCATGCTGGCACTCACAGCAAAACACATTAACTATGTACAGAGAAGAGCTGCCTTAACTTGATTAAGTGCATTTCTATTTCACAGAAACCCAAGCAGATGTCAAAATAAAGGTAAAACACCAGAGGCACCGCCAACCTGCAGAGCCCAAACAAAGAGCAGGTGCATGGGTGCATCTGGGCTCGAGGTCCCGGCTGCAAGTAGAGCAGCAAGAGCACAGCCTGAGTTGGGTGTGGTGGGCAGGCATCAGGTGGCAAAACTGCAGCCTCAGACACTCGTCCGCACGGGCTTCACGGGATGAACATTCACACGCCATTTGGCTTAATTACTTCACTATCAGCATAAAGACATGTTTAATAACAGCGACTCAGTATCGCCAATGCTGTCTCATTGCAGAACTGCACACTGTGAGGGAGAGTAGAGACCGGGTGTGGGGAGAGGGTGCAGGATGCAGTGTGGGAGAAGGGAGAGGAAAAGCAATGCAGTTTTGGCATTACACCTAATCAAGCTTATATAAACCACATGTATGGAACCTGGAATCACCAACTAATCATTACACGTATTTTTAAGCAAATGCTGATTATTTACAACAAAATACCTTAAAGCTATCCCCATTATGAAACTTTCACAACTGAGCACAGAAGCCTTTGCCCCACAGTGGCGAGTGGAGCCAGGCCTACCTCCTTCAGCAGGAGGATGGTGCGCTCGATGTCGCTCAGGCTCGGCGGAGACAGGGCCGTGGCCAGCAGAGCTCTGGGCTCACCCATGTCGAGTAATTTCACCTTCAGTATTGTGCTTCCTAAGGGACAACGCTGAAAAGGACAAGACTTCCATTCAGATGTAATAAAGTAACTGAATCAATAAACCTGGTGACTGGTACTTCAGAGAGGGAGCTGAGAGGGAGGAGAGGAAAGCAAGGGAAAACAGAGGGAGGGGGCAAGGGAAGGAGAGAGAGCAGGTGAGAAAGAATGAAGGGAGCCCGGCCAGCATGGTTCAGCGGTTGAGCGTCGACCTAGGATCCAGGCAATCAGAGTTCAATTCCCGGTCAGGGTACAGGCCCGGTTGTGGGCTTGATCCCCAGTCGGGGGTGTGCAGGAGGCAGCCGATCAATGACTCTCTCATCACTGATGTTTCTATCTCTCTCTCCCCCTCTCCTTTCCTCTCTGAAATCAATAAAGATATATTTTAAAAAAAAAAAAAAAAAAAATGAAGGGAAGAGCAGGAGGGGAGAAGGGGGAGACAGAAGAGAAGAGGGAGGAGAGCCAGCAGGCAGGGGACAGGAGGGAGACGGAAGAGGGGAGGCACCCGTCCCACATGCGGGAGAGCAGAGCCTTCACTGCTGGGCGCTGCCTCCACAGGTGGGGTGTGGGAGCCCACAGAGCACCCCACGCTCGATAGTGAGCAGTTACTGTGGCTGCAGACTGGTCAGACATGAGCTTTCTGGAATCTACAAACTCTTAAAATTACATCACTTAAACTGTTTAGTAAAACTGTCTATAAAAAATGAACTTTGAAATTGACCGAGCTTGTTACCAACATCTCCGGAATGACGTGGTCGGGGATGGCGTTGTCCCAGAAATCCCTGTGTATCAGGCGGTAACAGTAGCCTTTAGACACACGTCCCGCTCGGCCTTCATAGGAAAGAAGTCGAAGGGCATTCAGCATTAGTTTTTTCAGTGTCGGCACAGAGGCACATGCAAGGATAAGCATTACCCACCACGAGAAACCTCTCTCCTATCAGATGGGGTCTGTAGAACCTTGGGCTGAAAGTCACCTCTACCCTCAGAGGAAGTGCTAAATCAATACATTTTAAGTACCACACATTTCCCACCGTGGCCCAGTCATGCTGGTGAAAATACAGAGGTCACCAGCAATGGTGACGCAGCTGCAGCATTCCCAGGACGTGGCTGCACGTGAGGCATGTGCAGGAGGCAGTCACTGTGGTCTCCATCGTCCCAGACACCTGCTGCGCAGTGAACGAGCGAGTCCATGCAGAGCTCAGGACCAGGCCAGGGCCACCACAGAACAGCTACTCCACTGCAAGACCATAGGGCTGGTGGAGTGGAAATTCCTCTATCCCCAAGTTCATAAACTCTCCTGAGGAGAAAGCAGGAATGATGGAGCTACTCTAGTCTACACCCAGGCTTTAGAAAGCACAGAAAGACCAACCCTTGGAGGAAAGTAAGAGGAAGGATCACCATAAACTAACAAAGAGACCCACATGGCTTCCGAAGCTATCCACCAGCAGTTTACGCTCCACTTTGTATAGTCCATTATGTGTGTACAGAGACGGTTCCCTAACTCGATGGACAGAGGCGGCCACAGGGTTAAGTGCAGTCTTACAGTGTGAGATGTTGTTGCTTAAACATTAAAACTTGTTCTGATAGAGGAAGTGTCTGAGTAAGAGTAAAAACACAGAAAACACAAATCTGAAGACAGGCGTGTGAGTGAACTGAACACAAGCTTACCTTTCCTCTGGTTACAGCTGGTCTTAGAGGCCCAGCTCAGGCGCAGACTCTGATAATTCGTGTCTTCATCACAAACCAGAGTTCTAGTCAAACAAAAATCTATAACTGTCGTTTAAAAAAAGAAACGTAAGCGCGATGTAGTAAGAAAGAGCTGTGTAACAACCACAGTGCACAACCAGAAAGCACAGCTAAGCAGAGCCTCTAGGAAAGCAGGGCCAGGTGGGGACTGTGGTGGCTCCTTCTCCCAAGGACGGGGGTCTCTGGGCATCAAGGACAGATGCCTGAGGACCCGACGTGTCACAGGACAAGCCCATCTGGGCTACACCCGAGAGCCCATGGCGCCTGGGGGACGGGGCAGGGCAGAGGAGTGGCAGGGGCTGGGGAGCAAGCTGCTCGGCCTCTCTGTGCCTCCATGTCCTCATCTGTAAACCCAGATGACAGAAACCCCCGAGACTCTTCTTGGAAAGCCCCCCCCAGTTTGCTCTCCAATCCCAAGTGTTCCAGCCACTGCACTTGACCTTTCCATATGGATTTTAAAGTAAGCGTGTGCATATCTACGAAGACTCATGCTGCACACATGCTGGTGGAGTGTGCCGTGTGTGCACATACGCGCGCATGTGTGGAGCGCCTGGTCCCTGGTCGCAGTATCTGCATTCCTTTACTCATCTCCCACCTGTCCGTCAGCACGTGCTGGCTACAGAAGGGTGTCTGCAGCAGGCAACGTCGGCTCTCCCACTCCCTCATATGGAGCCTGAGGGGCTGCAGGTCCCACCCTCCTGGACGGCCTCCACTAGCCAACTACCAGCAGTGCATAAGCCACCTCATCTCTCCACGGCCACATCCCCTCCCCTCCTCCACTCAACACCAAGCATCCTTCTCGGATCCAGGACTCAAGGAGCCCTGTGATCGGTCCCTATGAGGACCTGCTGTCTGCCCTCCCGTGTCCCCGTAAGGCCTCACTCCCCTCCTACCCAGAGCACTGTCAGCCTGCATTCTGCTCTACACACCTGGCTCAGGCCCAGCCCTGCTCAGTGACAGCTGTCCACCCACACCAAGACCACCAAATAGCCAACAGGCTGCCTGTCCCTTCGCTTCCTGGTCACCAGTCTCCAGTGGCCCACAGAGAGACCCCATCCACTCCGCCCCTCTCTTCAGGGCACCATCTTATGCCTTCCCCTCGAGCCTCTACCGCCTTCTCCCTCGTCACTCTAGACTGACAACCGTGCCTCTGGTCCCCGAGGAAGTGGAGGCCCTCAGAACTCCCGCTGTCCTCCTTGTGACCAGGAGTACACCCCACATCCCTACCGCGGCCCTGTCCCGTGCAGCCAGCAGCTCTCCAGCATCGTCCCCTGCACTGCTCCCATCACTCAACAAAAACATGTTGGGTCTCCTGCCAGGAAGTGAGTTCTCTCTCTGGCCCCCCTGCCCGGCAGTCTGCCCAGCTCCCAGCTCCCCCCTTTCCTTGTCCTTCCTAGAGCCCATACCTGGCGGGCTCTGCCTCCACCAAAACTGCTTGTCAAGGTCACCGATGACCACCAAGTGGCTAAATCCCTCAGCCCATGTTCATTCTGTTGACCTCGACCTGTCAGCAGGACGTGCCTGCTCACAGACATCCGCGAAGGCTTTCTGATCGGGGTCCAGGCCCCACTGGCTGCCCCAGGAGCTCCTCTTTACCTGCCACTCCACCCCACATCCAGGCTCACACAGGCCTCTCCTCACCCTGCCACCCCCGGCCTTCCAGTCTCCGCCACGGACTTGGCCTCCACCTTCAGTTCAGGCCGCAGGTGCCAAGCATCACCCCCGAGTCCCTCACAAGCCCGTATCAGACCCCTCAGCAAAGCCTTCAGAACCCACCCAAAACCAGCCGCTCCTTCTGTCTCCTGCAGCCACTGTCCTGCTCTGGACCGTCCACCTCTCCCTGACAGTGCAGTGCCCTGCTCATCTCCCTCCTCTCCCTGTGCCTCGAGGTCAAGTCCCCAAGACTCTGATGACCAATCACTGGTTATGTCACTCCGTCTGGAAACTGCCCAACGGTCCCCCATCTCCAAGAGTTTTATCTTCTCAGATCACTCAGCAGAACTGAAGCTCTAATTCTACTCCTCATGGCCCTGCCCCAGGCTCCCCACTTCCTCTTCCACACCCCGTAATGGGCTGCACATCTGTGTCTCACTCACTGCCTATCTTTCCAACCCCCACCTGAGTGTCTCATGAGAACAAGGACCTCTGTTTACTGCTCTTCTAGCACCAGAGCATCCCTGGCACAGGACAAGCCCATCCTCGGCTCTCTGTCCCAGCCGCACCTGTCCCCGCATCAGAAGTCATCCTGCACGTTGCTCCCCCCGCAGCTCAAGTCCTGCTCCAAGGTGCCTCCTCAGAGACGGGCTCCCACAGCACCTGGGGCAAAGAAGCCCCCCCACCCCAGCTCCCACCGTGAGGAAAGGGAGGCACCTCACCGTATTTGACATCTGGAACCGTGACAGAACTCTCCGCAATGTTGGTGGACAGGATGATCTGTCAAACATCAAAGAAAGGGTCCGACACTCTTACCACACACTGGAACCCATCAGGCAGAGTTAAAAAACTTAAACTCAAAAATTGCTTAGAAGCTTCTTACTGTAAATACTGGACTCAGATTCTAAACTGGGTCCTTCTACTCTATCCACGACCCCCTCGATCAAGGTCCTGGGGTGGGGACAAGGCCGCAACAGCCGACCCTGCCCCACCCCCAGCTCTGCTCCACAGCATGGAACCCTGGGCTGGTCACTCACCTGGTTTCCTTGTGTGTACAATGGAGATACTGGTGACACCCACCCTCCTGGGGCTGCTGTGAGGACCAAGTGTGTTGATAACTGTAAAGTGCTCAGACTACCCTGGCATGGGCCAGATATTTGGTGAGCGGCAGGTATTTCTAGTGGTGTGGGCACCCTTTGCTGGGCACTGCCTGTGTCAGGCACTGAGGTGCCACAGGTATGTGCAGGCACATATACACTAATTCATCTTCCTAACAACTCCGCAGTACAAACATCACCGACTAGACCTTCAAACCGTAAAGTTTAGGCTTAGAGAAGCGATTTGCTCAAAGTCACACAACTACAGTTGAGAGACCCAAGTCACCTGCCCAATTCCACTCGTTCCAAACCCTACGCCTCAGTGCAGCACCACCTGCCCCAGGGGATCACTCTCAGGGGCAGAGGCGACCAAGCTGGATCCCCATGCGGCCGTAGCAGCCCTGGGATGCCAGCAAGGTCAAGGCTGCCCTGGAGACTCAGAGCTGGAGCCAAGGGTCCCTGACCACCACAGGCAGCTCTAGGGCTGTGATGCAACAACCCCATTGCTCACGCACAAGCTGAGATTAGAGAAACCCTCCTAAACCAGGAGGGTTCTCACCAAAGTTGCCAGAGCTGTGCCAGGGACACCAGAACAGTCCCACACATTGAGAAATGACAGAGGAAATTGAAAAACTCTAAAAAACTGATTTAGAAAGTCAAAGACAAAATGAAGCAAGGCCTGGCTCATCAAGCAAGCATTTGTTTATGTGACTAACACTGGCCTCAGCATACCCAGCGCCCTCATCAGCAGGGGCTCCTGCTCCCCTACCTTCCTGTACCCGGGCACTGGGCTCAGAAACACGTTGTTCTGTTCCTCCAGAGTCACACTTGAGTGCAGAGGATAGACCTGCAGCCTGGGAAACAAAGAAATGGAGCACAAGTCCATAAGCACAAGTATACATGAGAACTTACAAAAATGAGTAACTACTCATTGAGATAACCAACATTATTTAAGGCAAAAACATACAACTCCTTCTAAGTGAGAATTAGCAATATCATTAAACACACCTTTTTTGAATCATGTTTGTGAGAAGTTCATGCATATAGTTTATTTCACTCAGACCTAGGGAAGAAAAAAGGGGAGAGAAAGAAAAGATTTGTATTTATTGTAAAAATCAACCTTTAAGAGGACATCTTCTTCAAGGAAGGACCTACCAATTCACTTGTTCACTTTCTGCTTTCCGCTAAGTGTGTCAAAACAAGTGAAGATGTGCTGGACACTCAGAAAGATGACACGTGTTCCTCTGTGTTTTCCTTCCCACAGCAGGGGCTGCCGTGACTGCCAACCACATAATTTTATGTTTCCTTTTCTTTCCATTGATTTACCTAACTTCCTACCAGCATGAAAAATTTTACAACCAAAAAATAGTTCAAAAGTATTACATGTTATTACTATGAAATAGTATTACTATTAAATGCTAAAATTTCTAAGAAGAGAGCCAGAGAGAATGCCACGTAATGGTGGAGGTGGAGACACAGGTACTGTGGCCCCACACCAAGGACTGCGAGGACTGCAGCTCTGGAAGCTCGAAGAGGCAGGGATGGAGTCTCCACAGAGCCTGGCAGGGAGCGCAGCCCTGTGGGCACCTGGAGTTTGAACTGTGGCTTCCAGAGTGGGGAACAATGCATTGCTCTTGTTTCAGGCCTTCCGTCTGAGGCGCTTTTTTTACAGGGGCCCCAGAAAACTAATGACCCCTTCACACAAGATCTATTAATAAAATAAGCAAATGGGAAACCTGAGCTCCCATAAACACCTAACAGAAAGACAACAAACCAAACTAGGAACATCACTTATAAGCACATGATTCAGGCCATGCTCAGCAGACACAAAGCACTGATTTCACACCAGGTGTTCAGCCAGCACCTCCACGGCACAGCTTCCATCGTTTCTCTCTGACACAGCATTATGCACACAGAAGTTTCTCATAAACGTCTCTCAGGGCAAATGCAGCTCCACCCCACTGTCGGCTAACAGTGCTCTGTGGGCACAACCCTAACTCACAGCAACCACAGCAGTCGTGACCAGAGCTTTACATTCAAGCTGGTTCCAGAGTCAGCAGTGATTGTCACTCATGCCACTTTCCCATTGGCACTGGAACAGACACACGCTCATACAGAATCTTCAGCAACAAAACTGCCGAGTTACCACCACAGTGTGTTATTGAGCTGTGCCACTCCATTAAAAAATCAAACACATCACTTTGAAAAAGTACAATTAAACATAAATTAATCTTTTCGGGTATTTTAAGAAGTCTATTTTCTCAAATACTGAAAAAGAAATTCAAGGACTACCCTAATAAATCTCATGGTATTACAATAACAAAACTATGCTTTAACAATATTTAATATTATGAAATAAACTTTAAACATAGATTGATGACAACTACCTCACATTTATAACCACATACATGTAACAAAACAAATTTAACACACTCAAGTATTTTACTGAAAATTCTACAGGGGTTGTAAGATTACCTTCAAAAAATTAACTCTACCCAGCCAGGCGTGGCTCAGCGGTTGAGCGTCGACCTAGGATCCAGGCGATTGGGGTTCGATTCCCGGTCAGGGCACATGCCCGGGTTGTGGGCTCGATCAATGACTCTCTCATTGATGTTTCTATCTCTCTCTCTCCCTCTCCTTTCCTCTCTCTGAAATCAATAATGTTAAAAAAAAAAAAAATCTGATCGCTCAATCCTTAGAATTTGTCATCATGAACATTCCATTAAGCAAATAAATGGTTCACATCTTTGCATTAATTATTTTAAATTTAAATTTGTTAGTAAACAAATAATAGTACAAAAATGCTTTAAAAAGAGAAAATATATAGCACAAAGAAGATAAAAATCACCCCTACTTTGCACAAAAATTGTTAAAAATTCATTCTTCCTGATTTCTCCTATATATTCCTGTATACACAGGGTGAGGCAAAAGTAGGTTCACAGTTGTGAGAATGCAAAACACAGAGCTTATTCTATTATTATTTATTAATTGTTGTATTATTTTCTATACACAAGACCTGTAAACCTATTTTTGCCCCACCCTGTATGTATTTTTTAAAAAAATAGAATCATATTATATGTGCATTTTACCTGGTTTTATTTTTTATATTTTATAAATCTCTCCATATCAATTTATACAAAGTTTTAAAGCTAAAACAAAATGGCATAGTATGCTAACAAGTATTTATCATTTTCAGCAATAGATCAATTCCTATTCTTTCACAAATATTATGAAAGCATAAAATGCTCACAGTTATTGGCTATGGTTATTGGCATCATGTCATTGGGAACAATATCATTTTAAGGATTAGGTGAGTTGGATTTAATCCTGCCCTACTACTAAGTAGTTGTGTTATCTAGAACCCGTTACTTGATATATCTAAGCCTATGTTTACTCATCAAAAAATAAAGTAGCACCCTAGCCAGTTTGGCTCAGTAGTTAGTGTGTCAACCTGCAGACAGAAGGGTCGTGGGTTCAATTCTGATAGAGGGCACATACCTCGGTTGCAGGNTAAAAAAAAAAAAAAAAAAAAATTCTAAAAAAAAAAAAACTCTTCCTTGTGAACCTTTTAAGCAATACAAAGGTGACAATACAAGTCAAACTGAAAATCACAATTGTTCCCATTCTCAGGGTCTAAAAGAATATGCCCATACGGAGAACACGATTTTCCTAACACATGCTTGGACACACGCTGAGCCTCTCCCCGGGCATTACAATTCCAGGTCCCAAAGGCTGGAACTACTCACCTGGTAAAAACACCAACACGCTGCCCCGCTCCCACGCAAACTGGGCGCCCGACCAGGTCTCGTTCCTGTTGAAAGTGTGAGGTGTGCAAATATTAACCAAGGCAGAGACAGTCACTGCTTTTCCAGATCCCTAATACTGCAGCTTCTGGTCCCGAGACGCTTGTCAGCATTATGCAAAGAACTTTCTCTACATGAGGAAACGCAGGGTCCCAAGGATGAGTCCTAGGCCCCAGGCTCACTGGGGACCCCAAGCCTCTGGTTCCCATTATTTTCTCCTATAAAAACTATCTGTAAAAATTTTCCTTGAAATGTAGTTATCATAATCCAGAACCTCAAATACAAAACACTTAAAATAAACTCTATGCCTTGGCAAGGTAGCTCGGGTGGTTAGAGCATCATCCTGATAGGCCAAGGTTGCAGGTTCCAACCCCAGTCAGGGCACATACTCCCGGGTTCGATTCTGGCCAAGGGCACATACCTCTGTTGCAGGCTCCACCCCCCGGCCCTGGTCAGGGTGCACTCGGGAGGCAGCCCATCAGTGTCTCTCACACTGATGTTACTCTCTCTCTCTCTCCCTTCTTCTCTCTCTGAAAAGCAATGAAAAAATATCCTCAGGTGAAGATTAAAAAAAAGTCAACCAATGATGCATAAACATGTGAACAATAAAATCCATGTTTCTCCCCTCCCCCTCTCTCTAAAACCAACAGAAGTGTGTAGGAGGAGCTCTAAGGGGCCCCAACCATCACTAGGAGGCACTTCCACAGAGCAAGATCTCAAATCGCTCCCCACCCCCGGCCTCCCAGGTTCCCACCGCTGCACCACCATGAGCAGTGAGGACCTTCCTCTGCTAGCCTGGCAGGCCCCCCGTGCCAAAACCTGGCTCTCTGAAAAGACAGCAACACTAATCCCTGATCTACTGTAGAGAAAAATAAGGTGAAGAGCCTGAAACCGCTGATGCCCAAAAGCAAGAAAACACCATGTCTCACATGACACAGGAGCCAGCTACAAAGGCTCCTACTGGCCAAATTTAGGACAACTGATTGCCAAGAAAGAAAACTGACTGTAACTAACTTTGACACTTTAAATAAATCAACATCTTAAGAGAATGAGAAGACAAGGCACAGAGACACATTTGCAAAAGACATACAAGAACTGTGATCTAAAACATGGAATTCTTAAAACTCAACAACTAGAAAACAAACATAACTAAAAATGGCCAAAAGACCTGAACAGACACCTCCTCACCAAAGATGACAAACATGAAAAAATGTCCTCCACACATCATCGGGATTGTAAATTAAAGCAATGCGACACCGCTGCACAGGTATCAGAATGGCCAAAATTGAGAGCACTGACAACACCACGTGCTGACAACAATGTGGAGCAACAGGGACTCCCGCTCACTACTGATGGGAATGCAAGTGGTGCAGCCACGGAAGACAGGCTGCCAGTTTCCTACAAAACTGAACCTGCTCTCACCATAGGATCCAGAAATCATGTTCCTTGGTAATTACCCAAAGAAGCTGTTTACAGCAGCTTTACTCACAGTTGCCGAAACTTGGAAGCCACCAAGACGTCCTCAGTAAGTGACGAATAAACAAATTGTGGTCCACCAGACAGTGGAATAACACTCAGCCATAAAAAGAAATGAGCTGTCAGGCCATGAAAAGACATGGAAGAACCTGAAATGCATATTACTAAGTGAAAGAAGCCAATCTGAAAAGGCTACGTGCTCTATGATTCCAATTCTATGACATTCAGGAAAATGCAAAACTATGGCGACAACGGAACAATCAATGGGCCTGGACGGTGCGGCTCCGTTGGCTGGGTCATGGTCCTGCACAGCAAAATGCTGCAGGTTCAGTCCTCAGTCCCGGCACATATGGGAAGGCAACTGATTGATGTTTCTCTCTTTCTCTCTCTCAAATCAGTAAGCATGTCCTCGGGTATGGACTAAATAAGTTAATAAATAATACAATGATTCATGGTTGCCACGAGTTACAGGGGTGGGGGATGAACAGGCAGAGCACTGAGGATTTTCAGGGCAGTGAAACCAGTGATACCACAATGGTGGATACATATCACTGTACACTTGTCACACCCACAGAACATACGCCACCAAGAGCGACCCAAGTATAAACCATGGACGTTGGGCAATGATGATGCTCCCATGCAAGATGCTGACAAAAGGGGAGGTTGTATGGGAATATGAAAACTTTTTCTACTCTCTGTTCAATTTTGCTGTGAACCTAAAACTGCTCTAAAAATAAAGTCTAAAGGGGGAAAAACCCATGAGTCCACTGTAACATCAGGAGAGAGAGAGAGGAGAGCATTGAGGAGAAGAGAGGCAGGGTAGTGAGAGGGAAGCTCCTCTTTACAGAATGGCCCCGGGAATAAATACGAACAAGTGATAAAATCAGAACACTAACGTCACACAGCTGACCCAGCAGCCCAGCAGCGCACCGGAATCAGGTGAAAGGCTGTCTGGCAGCATCACCCACGTTCAGGCTCCGTGAGTACAGCAGGGGCAGGAAAATGAGCGGAGGGAACCCACAGCTTCCCCCAGCAGTCAGTCTGCACAACACCAGAGACAGAATGTGGCTGGAAGTCAGCCAAACCAAAAAGCACTTTCCTACAGAACAGGCAGACCAAAAGGTGACTCCTCACCCTAAGACAATTATGGGAAAATTCCACCAAAGCAAGGAAAGAGTGTGCTTACTGTATGTGAATTATATCTCAATCAAGTCAAATAAAAAATTAGAAAAAGCAGGAGTATGGAAAGAATTAAATAGCAACCTAAATTTTTATACCTAATAAAACTATTCCAAGAATGAGAATTAAATAAAGACATTTTCAGCTAAAAAAAAATTAACATTTACCAACAGACTTTTTAAATTTTATTTAATGATTTTAGAGAGAGGAAGGGGGAGAGAGACAACATCGATCTGTTGTTCAATTTATTGATACATCATTGGTTGACTCTTGTATGTGCCCTGACCAGGAATCGAACCCACAACCTTGGCCTATCGGGAAGATGCTCTAACCCACTGAGCTACCCAGTCAGGGCTACCAAAAGACTGTTACAGCAGCTTCTGAAGGATATGCTTTAGGAAGAATGAAAATGAAGGAGAGTTTAGGCTGCAAGACAGAATTCTGAGTCAATAAAACGGTATCCATTTGGGTAAATCTAAGCAACTGATGATATAAACAACAAAAACTTGTGGGAATTTTAGAAAGAGATAAACTAGCGCTGAGGTGCACGGGGGCTGGAGGGGTGGCTGGAGTAAGCCCAAAAGGGACACAGGACACTAAGTAACTGCACATACCAGTCTGTCTACCTTTCACAACTGGTGACAAGAAGGGACATGCAGGTGTGTGTATCTCCACAGCCCACAATGACAGTGCCTCAGCCACCAGAGGTGAGATCTGCATGCTCACCAGGTGCTGCTCCAATGTACAAACTTCATGTATGAGTTTAGGGACATGAGCACAGTGAAGGTCCAGAATACAGCATCCTATCGTCAAAACTGCACACTGTGACCACCACTTATAACCTACTGTTGCTCTTCAGGGAAATGTGTCCAGTCCCGAAGAGCCAGGGGATCGAGCAGCCATCTAGACCACAGGAGTCTCGGCATCGGGAACCCACCCATGTGAGAGATGCAAACAATGGAAAGGGGCTGTCTGCAGTCTGCCCCTGGGACTGCAACAGACAGTGTGTCTTGGGTCTGGAAAACCGTCCTCAGGCTGTGGTTTCTAGCTTTCAAAACTTTCGGTCCTAAAACCATACTTGGCATGGTTTTAATTCTAAAGTGTAAATTTCTAGTGAAAATTTGCAAGATGCTAACTTAATTTTTAAATATAGAGAGTGACTCCTGAAAAAGTCTCTACAATTAAATGTTAACATTAAAAAACACAAAAGATTTCTAAATGAGTAGCCTGACCTTTGAGTTGCTGCACATTACAACACAGTGCAGCAGGAGGGTCTCTTACCCGCTCTCCTTCATGTCCATGTCATCGAACATCTGAATCAGGGAGACGGCAACCTCATACATGTCCTTCGTGATCACTGGCTCCTCCAGGACGTGGGGGGAAAGCTGAAACAGGAGGAGAAGCAGCTGAACAAGTGGGTCACCAGGGCACCAAGGCTGCATGGGCAGCTCTCCTTTCAGTGTGTCGCTGTGACAAATGCCCCAAAGAAAAGCCGTACCATTTGCAGCATCTGAACAACACACGGGACACTCCCAACCCCACCCCTAGAGCAAGGGTGGGTCAGAGTCCAAGATCAGAAGGAAGGGTCTTCCAGGGAACCAACTTTGAAGAGACAGAATCAGTTGTTCCAAACGCCTATGGAACCCGGGGGTTGTGACCCCAGAGTTGCCTTCTCTCACCTCCAGGAGCCCCAAGATGGCAACCTCATCCTTAAAAATCACAAGTCCCAGAAGAAGGGACTGCCCCACCTACCTGCCAATTTACAGCAGTAACACTGCTGCATGTAGCGTGTTACAAGGGTTTAGGAGTCGCTGTCACCAGACACTTTCAACTGTGTCCTGAAGTCAGATGGAGCCCTGGTCACCGCTGACTGCCCTCAGGCACCTTTCCAAACACTGGGGCTCGACCAGAGGCAGCCCCGCTGCACCCCCAGTGAGGTGACAATTACATTCTAAGCTGATAGATTTCATGGGACTGAGGCCTCCACTGAGCAAGTCTCTCCCGAGAACTTCCATAAAATCTATTTTATAGCCATACTGGGTTTTTCCCAAGAGTAAGAAAACTTCTGTTGTTTGATAATTTTACTACCAAGCACTGTGTATAAGACACCACATTTGATTTTTTTCAAGGACACCTCAAAAGAACCCTCCAGGGGATCAGACGTTACCACAAACACAGTCAATTAAGTTGGCTAAGAGTCAAACACTCCATTTTCATTTTTATTACAGTTCTACTAACATATCACAAATGGACATTTATTTAATACTTTAGAAGAAGCATGTCTAAGAAGTCCATTTTTAAAGGTCAACCTTTACCTTAAATAATTTTCCGCTTTATCCAAACAATATTTACAACACACTGTACAAAAAGAAACGGAAAAAGGTAGTTCTCTCAAACTCCAACCATGAGCTATCCTCTAGAACTGCTTCCAACAGACAAGCACAGAAAAGTATGTCCTCGCTTCACAAGTAATTTCCCGGAGTTCAGCACCTGAGCCCAGAGAACGCTGGAGACACACTGCTGACACCAGCCACAGCCTGCTGTCTCTCAGCCACCTTGACCCAGATGACAAAGGAAACACATGATTCCGTGTGCGGAGTCGGGAGGAAACCCAGCATGGCCAGAGAGGACCGACAGGCAGATGAGCAACATGCAGTGCTGCGAAAAGGCAGAGCAGAGAGCACGGCTAGGAAGGTGGGGGGAGCCTGTCATCCCCACCGGCAGAGTCCACATACTCTGTTGTCAACAAGATGGGGCAGAGCACCTGGGTTCCTGTCCAGAGCTAGGATCTCGGTGCCCTACACGCTGCCATCCCCAGGAGACAATCATGCCAGGCCAGCAAGCTCGTCCCCAGTGGAGAGCGACAGACATCAGCACATGGGAGTCAGCAACAAGCCAAAGGACAGGTGGCAGGGAAGGATTGCAGCGGAGCAGGATCACAAACCACTAAGAATTCATGCACTTCCTAAAGGTGTTTGTTTTCTCAACAAAGAAAGTTGAACACAAAGGATGAAAATGACCCTCCAAAGGACATGGAAAGGACAGGGAAGGGCACGGAAAGTACAGCCAGAAAGGGTGCCAGAAAGACCAGAGGGCACCATGGGACCAGAGGACAGTGTGACTTTCCATGAAACGCAAAGGGCCAACAGTGTGTGGTCCCTTACAGAGGTCAGGCAAGTTCAGGGCGGAGAGCTGTGCACATAGTGGGGCCACTAGCTGAGTGCAGGAGGGGGCAGGGAGTGAGGAGCACGTGGGGGGGGTGTCAATGCTGGGAGCTGAGACAAAGTTTGGGAAAAGCTACAGAGAACCATGGGACCTATGAGGTGCTTTTAAAGATGAAGCAAATGCCCGGCCAGCGTGGCTCAGCAGTTAAGCATTGACCTATGATCCAGGAGACTGCAGTTCAGGGCACCTGCCTGGGTTTTAGGCTCGATCCCCAGTAGGGGGCGTGCAGGAGGCAGCCAATCAATGATGACTCTTATCATTGATGTTTCTATCTCCCTCTCCCTCTCCCTTCCTCTCTCTGAAATCCATAAAGATATATATATATTTTAAAAGATGAAACACGCAGTTCTGTTTACATGTGGACAAGAAAAGGAGCAGAGAGGAGCTTCGTTGTGAGGAGAGGGGGACAGTGAACAGATCAGGTCCCTCAGGAGGAGGCGGGTGACTGGCATGACACAGGGGAGAGGCTGGTGCTCCCAGGGGCAGATAGTGCGCCTCAGCAAAGGGATAGTGGCCATGGGAATAACAACAAAACGGGGACTTTAACCAAGGTCCTGTAATGTCAAAAACTTGTAACACGATCTACGCAGCAGTGAGGAGCCCAGATGGTAAGTGAAGGGACAAAGTGGTACCTCACCTCTGCGGTTCCAACCCAAACCCATAACCCCAGTGTAACCGTGAGGACGGCCTCCGGCCCATCCCAGAGCGGGCGTCCTACAGCAGAGAAGTCCCAAGACACTCAGTTACCCAGAGTGAGAGAGTCTGAGAAATCCTCAGCCCAGGGCCTCTGAGCCATGACGACAGGAAGCAACATGGGTCCTGGGACAGTAAAGGACATCCGGGGATAGCAGTGCACCACACACTGAAGTGTGGGGACTGTGTGCACCTGTGTCAGTGCCCTCACCCTGCCGGTTCAGTGTACAGGTGAGCCGTAGGATCCAGGCGATGCGCAGATAAAATCCACACTACAAAATTCTCCCAACTTTCCTGTTCTTTTGCATTGTCATTTTAAAAGTTGAAAAAACACCCTGCATTTTAATGGCCATCACTGGGCCTCCCTGACGTAATCTGACAAAAGGCTTCCTCCTACATGAGGGGAGTCCTGGTCAGCCCCTCACTGCAGCAGACGTGGCTGCTCCCTGACATCACAAACATCTCCAATGCAGATCAAACCCTCAGAGTAGTCTGGAGTCTCTTCAGGGACCATACCCCAGAGAGAATCCCCAGAGAGCAGAACCCTGAGGGCAGGCGGTGTACCCGGCTGCGTGGCACGTGCTCCAGGTCCCCGAGATAGAACTCCTCGATGGAGTGGGGCTGCCCGGCCACCTCAAACACATAGGCGGGGTTCATCTTGTTCTGAACAGGAACCGCAAAGTAGTCGGCGAACTCCCTGCAGTTGATGGTAGCTGACATCAGGATGACCTGCAGGGGTACCGTGGAAGAAGCAGAGTGAGAATCACAAGGACTGAAACGTGATGCTCGGCAAACCCCAGGCTGGTCTCCTGCTTTGATGTCTGAGATGCCAACAGAACATGCCGACTTAACCCGTTCCTGTGGCGCCGATTACTGTAGTTTAAAGAATGCTCAGAGATACAAACTTTTAATCAATTACTGATCAAGTGAGAAATTACACTATTTCTAATAAAGCTGTAACTGTTTCTCTAAAAGGAAACTGTGCATTCAAAGCCAATTTAAACAGAACAAATGACTGGACCGCGCATTCCAGAAAAAGGAGGGAGTAAAGCAGCCAAGAGGACAGGACTGCCCAGGAGACAGCCGTACAGCAGCAGAGGAGCCCCCACACCTGCAGACTGCAGTACTCGGTTTTGCCAAAAGGAGTGGTAATGTCTTTACAAAACACAGCCAAGAATGCCAGGAGCAGCCCTGCAGCATACCACAAAGGGTCCACGCCACTCACAGACTCCAAACGCCCAGTAGGGGGTGAACACAGCCACCTGCTGGCTACTGATTTCCTAGTGCACCTGGCAGTTAGGATTCTGCCATGTAAATCTCAGTGGGAAGGTAATATGTAAGCATTATCAGTACAGCTATTGGGTAAGCAAAACACCTGTATTTTCCCCTTTGACGTTTCAGACAAATGGTAAAAACCACATCAACAGGACTTACTCTGAGATAGGGTGGAGAGGAGGCTCTGAGAAGCACCTGGGTGTTAAAGTGGCCCCAAAGGACACACTTTGTCACAGCAGATGATGCGAACCTAAGGCTGACTGAGGCGTAGAGTAGCTCTGCCCTGGCCCTGTCTCATGTGAGCCCCTCGCGCCCCCAGTGGCCCTCACCTCTCCTCAGACAGACACCTGCTTGTCCAGGGGCCCATCTGAGTCGGTCAGCCAGCAGCGACCTTGGGGTCAATGGGCTGGGGGGTGGACAGAGCCAGTGGCCTCCACAGATTAGTGTAAAGGCCCACCTGACCGAGCTCCTGCACCTGAATCCCTTTTTAAAAAGTAGTAAGAAAGGAATTTTTGAGAGTTTCAAAAAACTGATTATAAAACCATGTAGAACTTGAATTCTAATTTCTTGGCCAACTACATACATCCTATATAAAGGTTCTATATTTAGAAAATACTCTGCTCCATATATTTTCAAATAAACCATAAAGATGTTGAAACTGACAAGCCATTTGCTACAACTTATACAGCAGGTGCAAGAGTCCTGCCACCATGCAGCAGGGGGGCAACTTTTTAAAGACCCATGACACTCTTAAACTCTCTTTACTATTGAAAATTAATAAAATTTAAAATATCAAGTAATTATCTTAGAGCAAAAAGGTCTTAAAAATGACAATCAAGAAATGCTCTGATTTGTTGAACAATCTTTAACGTCACCTTTAAGTTAAAATTCCAAAAGGAATGTAATGGCAAAATTCTCCCATCATTTTGCAGTCACCTTGAGCAGTAAGACAATGCCTTGCAAATGTCGGTTCCGGCATTTTAGTCTCCCCAGGTGAGAACACGGAAGGCTAAAGGCTCCCATCTTGGGGGTGGGGAGAGAAGAAATGTTTCCCTAAACCAATCAACAATGCAACACTTGAACACAAACTCTTTGGAGTTAGCACGGTTTCCACCAACAGCTGGCCCTTCCCAGCCCCTCATGAGTGACAGGACAGCCCAGTCACTGCCACCCTTCACCAGGCGGCTCCCAAGGGCCTCTGTGTGGCCTCTGTTGGCAATGCGGCGGGCCTACATCCAGACGCAGTTACTAAAACCTTCCACTGTTTTGGCCTAGTTCGCACCTTCCTGTTTGTGTAAATATTTACCACCCCCAGGAACCCTTCAGTTAACTCATAACTTAAGTCTCTGAAATAGTAGTGCATCTGAGTGTTCTCCAACTTCCACGTGCTTTGGTGCTATTTTCAAAACAGAGATTGCAGACATATTCACAACTTTAAAATTGTGGTGCTCATAGCATTTTATTATAGTCAACTATCACTAGATCATTTTTACAGGCTGTAGAAAGTTTTTAGTGCAACATAATAACCAAAATGTATTCCATACTCTGACCTTAAGGAGCACACACCCTAGCCAGCCTGCTAGCAAGATCTGGAGCACTACACATGGCAGCGAATTTTAAGAGTCACTGTTTATGTTAAAATAAAGAGAAACAAAACTACACAGTAAATCTTAATACTAAATATTTCTGTTATTCAAAAATCAAATTTACCTTCACAAAACGCGAATTTGTTCTTAAAAGCTTGCGGACTACCAACAGCAGGAAGTCCATTTCTTCAGTTCGCTCATGTACCTACAAAATAAGAAAGGGCACCACACATGGCACCCAGAAGCACACAGACATCGCTGAGTGAGTGGGGAAGGGGGTCGGTGTTGAGTCAGCTCTCTAGATCACAGAACCATAAACCAAAGAGCCTAAAAGGGGCTGTGTGGGTCCCTGTCTCCCAGCACTTCTCTTTGGGGCCCTAATAGCATTTGGGTAGAGTGATGTTTAACATCCTTGGCCCTGCCCACCTGATGCCAACAGTGTCCTGGGTCACTATGACAGCCAAAATCCTCCCCCCATCTGGCCCCAGCATGGAGAACCACTGGACCAGCCCCACGCTTCTACAGGTACAAGTCACACTGTTACTTCAGCAAGTGCCTGCAGGGTGGGAGCTGCACTGGGGCAGCAGTGCCCTGCCTGACAGGACCTATCCCATGACCTGGTGGACTGCAGGTCCACTGATGGGAGACTGGCCCTGAAGGCAGCGCTCAGTCAAGAGAGCTGCAGAGTGCAGGGAACAGCGCCTGCTCCGTGGCCCTCATCACACAGAGGCCTTCATGGCTGGGCCTATCCAAGGACCTGGAGCCACCCCAGCCACCTTGTCCCAGAGTCAGCTGACAGCAAAGGGCCATGACATGGGGCTATGTTTCTAGCACTTGAACACCTGGACACACGGGGACAGTAAGATTCTACTGTGGGACATTTCTCTGCCAAAGTGGAGAGATGAGCTGCTGCATGTGAGAGCAGGAGATCTTTCTTCTGGTGTGACAGGCCTGCTGACTGGGTCTAGGGCAACCATTCTGGGTCCTGCCACCTCTGAGTCCCACTGAAGCAGAGTGTGGGGTGGTAGTACAGAGGAAAGTACAGATGGTACCTAACAGTCAAGTGTAATGGCTGGAAATCCTAATAATGCCATTATAAATTCTTATTTCTTCTACCCACAGACTCCAGAACATCCTCTCTTGTATCTGAGAAAAGCCCCATCATGGAAAGCCCCAGAATGGCCTATCCTCTGTAGTCAGGTCCCACGACCTCCGCACTCTGGAGTTCCTACCTGACACACCCACCCTCTCCCCGGGTCACCAGGCTGGCCCCAGGATCCCACTTCGCACACACATCAGGAGGTCCCCGTACCAGCTTCTCCTGTGACTGAGACCCTGAAGGGAACACAGCAGGGACAGCGAGCACCCACCTCGTCTATGAAGATGTGTGTGAACGCCACCAGGCTCTTGGCGCTGACGATCTTCTGCAGTAGGACCCCCGTCGTCATGTAAATTAACCTGGTGTCCTCCGTGGCGACTTTCTCCAGCCCCACCTAGATTTGGGGAAGGAAAGGGGAAAAGAGAAACTTTTCAGGTTTAAATGGCTACATTTAACTCCAAAAGAAGGCCACGTCCATTGTATCATGGGGGAAAGACACAGAATCAAGTACAACTGTCGATCACAAAAAATACAGGATTCAAATTAAAGGTAAAATTTGGCTGATTTTTCCCATTTTGGGGTGGGAGGGGGCCTGGCTTGTCTAGTGACACTGGTTATATCATTTTTACGTTAAGACAATTGTGTATGAAGACATCTACATACAAAAATATAACTAAAACTCTAAAATTATAGTAGTGAGTCTGAAAACTCCCACTTCTTTCCTATTCAACTGGGGGGAAAATTAAGGTTATTTTCAAGAAATTCAGAGTTTCATCATTATTATTTTTTCTAATATATCTTTATTGATTTCAGGGAGAGGAAAGGAGAGAGAGAGAGATAGAAAAATCAATGATGAGAGTCACTGATCGGCTGCCTCCGGCACGCCCCCTACTGGGGATTGAGCCTGCAACCCGGGCATGTGCCCTGACTGGAAATCAAACCCTGATCACCTAGATCCTAGGTTGATGCTCAACCACTGAGCGACGCCCGGCCAGGCAGAGTTTCATTATTTTTTAAATTATGCCATCGTTCTGCTCTATAATCAACTAGACTTGTTTTACTTTATAGCAGGGAATAATCAGATCCCACCATCAGCTCACACTGGATAAAATGTGCACAGGAGAGAGTGGTTCTCTCTGGGTCTAGCTCACCTGGTAGCCCACCAGGCCCCCCAGAGTCCAGGCGCGCTCTCTGCTGATCCACCGGGCCATGCTGCTGGCCCCGATTTTCCGGGGCTGGGTGACCGCGATGTGGCAGTAGGCAGAGCACTGGATGTAGTGGTCCAAGATGTACTGCGGCAGCTGAGTGCTCTTACCACTGCCCGTGGCACCATGAATGATCACCACAGAATTACTTTCTATCAAAGAAATAACCTGGAATTGAAAAAAAGTCTTTCAGACTTGCTACAAATTAACAACACAGTGTTACCTGTGAACTGAAGCTTTATCTGGAGAAGACTCTCAGGATTTATCTTCCTTTCATCTTCAAAAGCTAAATTAATGATCACCTAAACATCACATAGGAGAGCAAGAAGGATACACATTCACTATATTTAAAACCAGCGTGACCATGAACAGCAACCCTTACGCTACGGAAAGCCAGACTCTCTATATCTCAGCTCTCTACATCTTCAGCTCTCTACATCCCAATTTCATCTAGAAAAATGAAACCCCCGAAGTGGGGTTTCTCTAGCTCTAAGTCTAAACTTCTAAAGTTTTTAAATAATTCTACTGAGAAACATGAAATTCTAGTGAGAACAACATTAAAACACAGATGTTACTACACTCAAGTGGTTTTAAAATCCCATTTAAAGCCCTCCAGACACGTGTTTAAACAACTAACTTCCACTGTCCCACTTACAGTCAGCAAGGGGCATCCTTAACTCCAGCTCCCCCACCAGGGCCCTGCGCTATCCTGCACTTCTGTAAGCTCCTCTGTCTTCAGCGAGTGCTGTGGTCAAGGAATACCACTGAATGTGAGCACTGGCCTCTAAAAACTAATGAAGTGGCCCTAGCCAGTTTTCTCAATGGTTAGAGCATCGGCCCCAGGGACTGAAGGGTCCCGGGTTGAATTCCTGCCAAGGGCACGTACCTCGGTTGCAGGCTCAATTCCCGGCCAAGGTCGGGGTGCCTGTGGGAGGTAACCAATCCATGTGTCTCTCTCACATCGATGTTTCTCCCCCTCACCCCCGCCCTTCCACTCTCTAAAAAGCAATGGAAAAAATATCCTCGGGTGAGGATTTTTAAAAAATAATAAAAACTAATGAAGTGTATCTACTCTACCAACTTTGTGTGGTGCAATCTAAAGCAAAATAAAAATGAAATCTGGAACACTTATTTGTGTTCTATCTGTGACTGTGTCTTCCACTAGTACATACAGTGAATCAAGTGAGACTCTCCTGGGGTGTGCAGGTGTTTGCTCGGAGCTACTCCAGAAGGAAGACTAGACAACAAACCAAATGTTAGAAGACCAGCTCCGGGTGCTGAACAAATTAAGCACAGCCCAAGGAAGCCCCCTGACGTGGTGTTCACACAAACCACCTCCGCCCGCCACCCAGGGCACCCACCTCTGCTCCACAGAGCCTTGCACACACCAGGGCACTCGCCTGGCACCTGACACTTTCTGACTATAAAACAAAAGTGTTGGGCCTCAGCATTTATTCGCACAGCAAAATCACATCATGACAAGAATACTCTTACCTCTTCCTTACATCGATTTATAGGCAAATCGGGATATTTATATGTTGTCTCTGGGATGCACGTAACATTGCTTAATTTAGTCAAAGGTGGCCTTGGACCTGGATTCAGACAAAACAAACAAATACAATGCTATTTCTTATCTGAAAAAAACCAAGGCAAACAACCCAATGTGATTTCTAACCTAGACATACACCATACTCTCTCACACATACAAAAAGACACACTCGACAGGGAACAGTGTGAGCAGGGTCCCCACTACTTGTAGTTTATGTCAGTAGTGCACTCTCCAACCCTCTGTCACAGCACCGATGCTATAGGCTCAGCATCAGCACTACCTTCAGCGACACACAACCTGTAAAGCGCAGTACTCGCTGATTAAAAACGGTCCTCACCCGGCCCAGGAGTGGCTCAGCAGTTGAACATTGACCTAGGATCCAGGAGATCGCAGTTCGATTCCCAGTCAGGGCACATGCCCGGGTTGCAGACTTCATCCCCACCAAGGGGTGTGCAGGAGGCAGCCAATCAATGACACTCTCATCATTGATGTTTCTATCTCTCTCTCCCTCTCCCTTCCTCTCTGAAATCAATAAAAGCCAGAGCTGTTATAATCTCTCAGAGCAAATGTAGCTTCTTTGTGGATACGTGTTCTTTCTGGGCCATCAGAGAACACTGACTTTGGGGACACCCACTACGTCCTGCCCTGGACAGCTTTCTAATCTTTTCAGTCTCACTACTGATGCCAAACTCTCCACAACCAGCATTTTCTCCCACTGTCACACCTCACTTTCTTTCCATGACTCCTCTCAGCCTGTGAGACACAATCAGTGCTGCCTCCCTGTCTTCCCAGCTGGTTCATGAGCCTCTCCCAGTCCCCCTCCAGAAGCACTCTCAGCTGAGAGTCCTTAAAGCCAACCAGACTACCTTCAAACACGGAGTATAAGCAAACCCCACATGTGAACACCTGCTAACTTACAAAGGGCTCCTACGTGTCATTAAAGCATCTGGAACTCTGAATGGAGGCTGGGTATCCAGGCCAGGCCACAAACACAAGAACAGAGATATTTACAAAAACAGAGAAACACACACACACGCCTTCCCATTCTTGATGCTGGAGGTGTCTCGATCAATAACAGGCCTTTTTCGGCCCTGGCCCAGTAGCTCAGTCGGTTAGAGCTTTGTCTGGATATGCCAAGGTTGCGGGTTCGCTCCCAGTCAGAGCACACACAAGAATCAAAATGAATGCATCAGTAAGTGGAACGACAAATCAATGTTTCTCTCTCCCTCCTTCTCTCTCCCTAAAATCAATAAATAATTTAAAAATAAAGCTAAGAAAAATAAATAACAGGTCTTCTTCACATGATCTATGGAAGGGTAAGAATCCACCCAGTGGGTAAATGAGGACACGAGGGAAGGGCTCCTGGGTCAGACTCTGCTGGAAGACAGGGTACAGGCAAGCATGGGGAGGCAGGGGCTCTCCAAAGGGAGAGACGCTGACAAAAAGGCAGCAGCTGTACTTCTGCTGAGCCTTGAAGCCCTGGTCCACTGCGCCGTCCTGACAGCACCTCGGACTTAACCTCCCTGACTGCAGGCCCAGAAGCCCTAACGTGGTGCCTACACCACGCTCTTCCCTCCACGCAACACCAGGCAGGCCAGCATTTCCAGGTCACGGCAGAAGCAGACCAGCACAGATCAAGCCTGCTCCCTGTCCAGTGCCAGAGGGAGGACAGGAACCAGAGAGTGTTCACTGCTATGAGGCTCTCATCTGAGCGACAGCAGCAAGCCAAAGGCAGGAGAGGGGGAAGGCCCCGGGGCTATACTCTCAAGGAAGAGACAATGGATAATTTAAGGCAAATCACAGACCACACAGGTCAAAGACACGAGAAATACCCCAACCTCAAAATGTGCTGTTTAGTTTTCTGTTGTCTCTTTATCTGAGGTCATTAACATTAAAATATTTTACATGAACTAGAAAAATCTGGAAATGTAAAACATGCTAGTTTCTGTTCACAAAGCTACTCCACTATGAAGTCTAACAAAAAAATTCAGTGGTTAGAGGTTCCAAACAGGATGTGATGGGTTTTAACTGGATAATATACTAACATTACTTATCTTAAAATCTAGACACTGTTTGTTATAGAAAATAAGTTTAATTCCTGCATTACTGATTTAACCATGAAATTAAATTTTCAAAATAAGTTTCTACAGCCCTGGCTGGCATTCTCAGTGGTTAGAGCTTCAACCTGCACACCGGAGGGTCACTGGTTTGATTGTGTCAAGAACATGTGCCTCAGTTGCAAGTAAATTGCCATCCCCAGGCAGGGCGCATGCAGGAGGCAACCAATCGATGTATCTCTGTCACATTGATGTTTCCCTCTCTTTCCCTCCCTCCCTCCCTAAAAATCAATGGAAAAAATATCCTCTGGTGAGGATTTAACAAAAAAACCAATACCAATTTTTAAATAAATTTCTAATTAGTAGCAAAGAACCATTATTAATCTTCCAAAGAACAGACTATTCAGGAACTATATTTAAAAGAGAAAAAAATGATTAATTTAGCCCCCAAAATCCCAAATTAACAAGCAGTGTGAATTCACCAAAATACTACATTTCTTAGACTTTTAAGAATTTAATGTTTTAGGAGACTTGACTTGGGGTGATGAACACACAATGTACAGATAATGTGTTATAGAATTGTATACCTGAAACCTATATAATGTTAGTAACCAATGTCACTCCAATAAATTCAACTTTAAAAAAGAATTTAGAGTTTTAATGTGTAAATAGCTCACACATCCTATTTTGGAACAGCTAACGATGCCCATTACCTGGCCCGCTGGCTGAGTGGTCACTACCATGCATGTCAAATTCTTGTGCTTCCAGCTGTCTGTACTTGCTAATGTACTCCAACTCCTTACTCTTCTGACTAAGTGGCCTGCAACAATATCACACGTTAGTACAGTTTCCAAAACACCACGGAATCCCCCTGCACCAGAGGAACTCTCGAATGCTTTTCATTAGGTCACAGAAGCAATGCAAATGGTTGATAAACAAGTAAAAATACACTCAAACCCAGTCATTTACCAAGTAGATGCTAATTTAAATGATGAGAAATCATGTTTTTCATCTTTCAAATTGGCAAAAAACAACAACAACCTTTAGATTATGGGGAAGGTGGTAAATGGGTCTGACATTTCCTCAGAGGGGAGGGCCACTTGCCAGTGTCTGTTAGAACCCACAGCTCTGCAGACAGCACCTGTCCCCTCCGTGTCTTCCTCAGAGCAGTATTTGCACATGGGGACAAGAGGCGTGTGCAGAGGCCAGCACCGAAGCCTCGGTTCATTCAGCGATTGCTGGCCGTCACCAGCACATGGGAGGCACACTCTCAGACCCAGAGGCACACAGTAAACAAAGCAGATACTAGCCCTCATGAAGCTGTCCTCCCAGAGAAGGAGGTATAACAGGTCTATCAGATATTCACTTGTGACAGGGAGGGTTCTAAGAGATTCCAGGAAGGAAGGGTACCTTTTCATCATATCTGTGATAGTAAAGCCTAAAAAAAAGTCTAACAGAGGGACAAGGTAAACTATGGCATACTCTTACTTAATCTATCACTTCTAAAGAATGCCATGTGAGGTTGTACTCATATTAATACATAAAAATGTCCAAAACAGCCCTGGCCAGTGTGACTCAGTTGCTTCAGCGTCATCCCATACACCAGAAAGTCGCTGATTCGATTCCTGGTGGGGACACATGCCTGGGCTGTGGGTTCAATCCCTGGTCAGGCCATACCGGAGGCAGCTGATCAATGTTTCACTCACTCATGGATGTTTTTTCTCTCCCTCTTCCTCTCTCTAAAACCAAATTTTTTTAAATGTCCAAAACATTCAGTGAGAAAACTGCACTTTGACATGAAAATCATGTATAAATATAACTGGGTTTTTGTGAGCAATGTCTCACTAGAATTCACTGCTGTCAGAGAAAAGACTGTGATACCAATACTAAAATTTGAGCCCTGGCTGGTGTGGCTCAGTGGCTAGAGCGTCAGCCTGCACACTAAAGGGTCTCGGGTTCAATTTCTGGTCAAGGGCACATACTTGGGTTGCAGTCTGCTCCCCGCCCAGAGTTGAGGCACCTGCAGGAGGCAACCAGTCAATTTCTCTTTCACATCGATGTTTCTCTCTTCCCCCCCCCACCCCGAAAAGCAGTGGAAAAAGTCCTCATGTGATGTGAAGGTTGAAAAATAAATAAGTTTGAGGTTCACTTTAGTAAAATGCTACTTGCATTAGGGTCATCTCTTATGTGATACTAATGGCCCTTCAGCATTGTTTTGGTTACCATTTCCCTGATATCTACTCTTTAGTTCACTCAGCGAAGCCATCACTGAGGTCTGACTGCAGGCCAGCACTGTCCTGAGATGCTGTCCTTGCAGCCTGCAGTCTGGCTGGGGAGAGAGGTAGCGCGGTGTGTCAGACGGTGACAGGTCCCCAGAGAAGCAGCAGCCAGAGATGAGGGGGCGAGGAGAGACGCAATGCCAGCAGGATGATAAGGTGACAAACAGCAAACGTCAGAAAGGAAATGAGAGGCCAGGCAGGTCTGCACGGGGACCCAGCCAAAGGAGGGGCAGAGGGCACAGCGCATGAGGGCACCAGGCCTGGCCGGGACAAAAGGCATGCCCTGGGCACAGCAGAAGGGGCCATGTAAGAAGGGGTGAGGCAAGACTGCACAGAGCCCCAAGCAGAAACCCCATATTTGTTCCACATCCAACACATCCCGAGATTTTATCATTTCTGAGACAAACATAGAAAATGCAGCAATAGAAGGAGGTCACTCAGAGGAAGCAGTGGCAGGGGTCACAGTCCTGCAGGAGGAGGCCTGATAGGACAGTCTGTCAGGACAACTTTTCCAAGAACCGTGGACAATGTGAAAACCTTCCGGCTGAAGATAACCAAGTCTGACATCTGGCATTTTCTACCCCGTGAGCAGTGGGAGCTGCTGGGCGGCCACACACATCACTCCCTATCACGCACAACACGCAGTTCTAACGTGAACTGTGTCCATTCCTCACAGTTCATTTGGAGGAAAAGGCAAGAGAGAATGTTCTTAAATATCATAGAAGGAAAAGCCACAGCCGTCAGGGGACACAGAACTGGAGAGCAGAAGTCCTGTCCACTCCTCAGCAGATAGCCCCGGCCCATTACACACGGTGCTCGCCCAACAGGAGGTGACCGTTACAATGAATCATGTTCTCACATCTCCATTTTTCCTGACCTTAATCTATTTCTGCCTCATTGCCACGTCTATGGAGAGATTACAATGTCTGTCAGCTATCTACGTACGTGCATACAATGTCCTCTAGAACTACAACCTGCTTAAACACACCACCATTTAGGAAAAAAGCAAGTACAGATGCCACATCTACTGAATAGTTCATACGCAACTGAGCTCAGCATCCCTGCCTATTTTACTCCGTTATAAGGAGCTTTCTCAGTGTGTGCATTTTGCCAATAGTCAAGTCTGATCTGTTTTTCCTGCTTTCATTACAGAGGACAGTGACCTGGCTTCTAACTGGCCTGAAAGTTAAACTGAAGAATCAAAGCAACATGGCTATTTTTAGAGCTCCAGAGGCACAAAAATACAGCTCTGAACTGTGACCTGCAGCAGCACACAGCAGGCGGCGCAGCAGGCGACAGTCCTCACGTCCTGGGGGCACATCCACAGTGCTGGCATTCACTTCCCTACCCCACATGTCCGAACGCATCGAGGTCCAGAACCAGAGCTGCCGGCATCTTTCCAGATGACTGAGCCACATTCAAAAGGCAAACCGTTATATAATTGGTGAAGATTTGGTAGTAAGTTATTTTTGTCGTTTCTGCGAGCTTGCTTACAAGGTGAATTAATAAGCATTCTCTCCACAGTAAGACTTCACAACCTCATTCCTAACATAGAAAGTTATTTATTTCAAATACAGCTTCCGTGGGTAAGTCAGGAGCTCATCCTTCAGCAGGGGCACAGCCAGGAGCAGCAGGCGTGCAGGAGTAAGACCCGCCGCATCACCAGTCACCACCACCACATCGGACCCGCAAGTAGCAGGTAAGCTCTACACCTGTCTGTCTAGAGCCTGAGTAAAGGGTGTTTCTGGATGGCACTTTACTGCACATTAATATTTTAAAGCCTCCTAAGAACTTTTAAAGCAAGTGTTAAGTGTTACTTTCAGAAACGTTCAGTCTGCAGATTATGTCTAACTTTGTATATTTCATTTCTGCTTAGCTACATGACAGTATTTTCAAAGCTTGGTTTCTGGCACTGACCTAGTTAGAAATCAAAAGACTTTAATCCATGTTCTAATCTTACTTTGACCTGTATATGTAACGAGTGAAAAATTCATTCACTTTTCTGGCAAATTTATTATGAAGAGAGAAATATCTGCTCATCAGAACCATGACATATGATGCAAATAAATGAGTGAGAATATTTCCACAGGCTAAAAATGCCACTTTTTGGCTGGATGAAATGGCCAAAACACAACCCCTACACACCCACACACCGCCCTGGCTCGGATGCAGTTACCAAGACGCTGCTCCGGGAGCTACAATGGCATCTGAAGGAGCGAGAGAGACTAATACAAGAGATCAGTGATGAACACAAAGTGAAGAGAACAGGCGTGGATTACACCTGGCTGAGAACCTACCAGAACCCCCACACGACCATCCCAGCAAGGGAGCAAAGACAACTTGAAGCGCTCTGCTCACAAGTGCAGCCCTGCCAAACAGGGACCATCCTCAGCAGGTAACAGACTACCTTCTTCCGCGTGACACTTGTCCCATCAGTCTGACACCTCACATATTCAGACTAGAAACTGTCCTTTATCATGTAAACTCTTTCATCCCATGTATCAAATTCCCAGCAACTGGAACCCCTGAGAGGCTGGACAGAAATATCTGTTGGTATCTCACCAGCTAGGAAATGTGTTCAAATCACATTGAAGTCTCTTTACTAGACACCCGCGAGGTGGGGAGCGCTACACGGTCTCCTTACATAGCTGCATGCCAGAGACAAAGGGAAATGGCAAAGAACTGTCTGAACTGATTACCCGTCACTGCCTTCCCTCTAGGTTTCGAGAAGTCCTGGCAGAGAATGATGTGCTGCCCTGGGAAATCGTCTACATCTTCAAGCAAGTTCTGGAAGACACCCTGGGTAGCTCTGAGAAAGGCAGGCAGCTGGGGGGCCTGGCAGTAGGGGGTGTGGGGGGCCCTGCTCACCCTGCATGCCCAGGGGACAGTGCCCCAAGTTCAGACAAGGATGAGATTCCCACTGTTTCCAGTTACGTGGACAGACACACGGAGAACAGGCTGCCCACATGCTCACACCAGGCGTGGAACCTGCCGTATTACTACCCGCCCCGTTAGGCTGTCTGACCAGAGGTATTTCAGGACCACTGCACCTCAGATGCTTATATTCAGAATAAGGTGATATGACTTCACGTGTCTCTCTGTTGTGAGGTCAAAGTTAAAATGCTTGAGGATGTGTCCTGTGTTTTAGATCCATGTTCCTCTTTGAGCCTCTCTAAAAATGCAATGTTTCTTAAAAACTAAAATGTTTCCTAAATATTTTGAAGAAAATGTTGAAGTATTTTCTTACATCTCCCAACACCTCACAGGAACTAAGGCATTTATTTATTTAGCATGAAATCTGGCGGATTCAGTGTGAAACTTTGGCATTAACCCTGACTTTGATTCTAAGAGGAAGGTAGGAGTAGAACAAGAGAGATGAGTGGTAAGGAACCTCTCTCCTCTGACACTGACACCCTCTCAGAAGGAGGGGAGACTCAGGAGGCAGGAACAGCAGCAGTGTGAAGACAAAGCTTCCTCCTGACACTCACATTCGTTTTAATCTCAACTAGATTAAGGGAAAGTATAAAAACACAGCTGTGTCCTATCAGGAAAAAAGAGATGCCTGGTTTAACATTAGTAGCTGCTATGCTCAAGTAAACAATACTGACATATGCTTTAAACCAATAGGGTGCTTGTTTAAAATAGCAAAATAGCCCCAGCCAGTGTTGCTCAAGGGTTAGAGCTCTAGCCCATGCACAGAAGGGTCTTAGGTTGGATTCCCAGTCAAGTGCACATACCTGGGTTGTGGTTCGCCCCCTGGCCCCAGTGGGAACTCATGCAGGGAGGCAACCAGTCGGTGTCTCTTGCGTTGATGCTTTTCTCCACCCCCCATCCCTTCCACTCTCTCTGAAAAGCAATGGAAAAAATATCCCCATGTGAGAATTAACAAAGCCAAAAAAAGCAAAATATTTACTACCTAAATTTGAAATTCCATAATTTCATTAAAATAGAAAACTATTAGTCATATTTATTTTTATGATCCAGTGCTAGAGCTCTGCTACTCTTAAAGATAATTCCAAGGAACCTAATGTCTGTAACTTTATATTTGGAGACTTGGAGGGTTTCATCTAAAAAGAAGGAACAAATCAAGACTGGAGCTAAATAGGCTTCAAAACCCCTCCTGACTTGTTCCCCCCACACACCACTGAAAGGGCCTCGCTTGGGTCTCAATCCTAACCGTGTAATAAAAGGGGTCAAGCTGACCAGAGTTTGATGACAGGCACATGAGAAACCCAAAGTGATCTAAACAGAGACACCTCTCATTCCTGCTCCGTCCTTCAGTTTTCGTAACTGCCTGTGGCTTCCTTGGCTGCTGTAAGACTTCTCAGAGTGGGAACTCTCTGTGGGACAGGTTGATGTCCCCCACGTACACAGCTGCTGACTGGGCAGAAAACCAGAAAGCAGCCAGCAAGAGTTCCAACAGGGCTGCTAAACAGGAGGCAGCTGATTGATGTTTCACTCTCACATCCATGTTTCACCCTCTCTCTCTCTCTAAAAATCAATTTTTAAAAAATCTTAAGAAAAAGACACAGGAAAATTGCCAACGTGGTGGGAGAGCAGAGGAAGGGAGCAGCAGATGAGGAAGGTGCCAGGGGGATGGACACTTGCCCAGTAAGCCACAATGAGTCTAAATTTCATTCCCATAGCAATCTATCCCCCCAAAAGTCACACCTGAGCTCAAACCTTAGGTGTGAATGTTTACTCAAGAATTTGTTCATTCAACAAATTAACTGGGTACCTATCTCAGGCCAGGCATTCTTCTCAGTGCTAGAATAAATTACTGGGGCAAGGAAGGGATACCAGGAAACCACAAATAAAAGATTTGTGCAACGATCCAGGCCAGAGATGATGGTGGTTTATTTAGTTCAGCTGCTGGCAGTGTAAACAGTGAGACACTCTTATTCTGGAAATATGTGTGGTAGAATTGCCAGGATAGTTTGATATTTTTTGATTGCACACACACGCCTTAGGGAAAAAGCCAACTTTCATCACATCTAGAATAAGGACCTGGTATGTCATAAGCAGTCAATAATCAGGACATACTAAGGCAGTTCATTCATCCTACAGATATCTGAATTCCTACTATATGCCAGGAACAAAGAATGGAGATTTGGGGGTTAATCTATACCCTCAAGAAGTTCTAAGGTGGGGAAAACAATAGATGAAGCAACCTCATAAAAGCACTAAGAGATGCTCGTGCAAAACACAGCAAGAGCTGTTACCTAAGTGGTTCCCTCACCTGGTGTTCCTCTGACCTCCGAGCTGTCCCTCAGTCTCCTTTGCTCATCCCATCTCATTAACCTCTAAACGTTCAAATGCTTCAGGTGGATCCTTGGACCTCTCCTCTCTGCACCCACCCACCAGGATCTATCACACAGAATCTGGGTGACCTCATCTAACTGGTCTCAAAGCCTTAAACTCCCAAATGTCTAGCTCCACCCAGACTTCCTTCCTCAGCTACGTTTAATGTTAGTCTAACAGGAATCTCAAAGTTAACATGTTCAAAATCAGACTCCTGGGACTCCACCATCCACCAGTCCACTGCAATCCTGCCCTTCTCAGTGGATGGCAACACCTTCCAATTGCTCAGCCAGAGACCTCATTGTCACCCATGATTGCTTCCTCACTCACATTCTGTATCTGACCCAACTACAAAGTCCTTGCCACTCCTAGAAAACATCCCAAATTCCACCTCTGCTCACCACCCCCCCATGCCACCATCCTGATCTAAGCCCCACCCTATCTCTTGCTTGGATGATATATTGGTGGGGTCTCCAGGTAAACAGAACCAACAGGATGTGTGTGTGCATACAGAGACAGAGTGGTCTACTTTAAGCAATTAGCTCACACAACTGTAAAGGTGCAAATCCAAAATCTGTAGGTGGGCCACCTGGCTGGAGACCCAAGAAGCAGTTATGTTGAGATCTAAATTCCAAGCTGCTACGGGGAGGTCAAGTCTTCAACTGACTGCATGACGCCCACCCAGGTTATGGGAGGTAATCTGCTTTACTCAAAACCTACCAACTTAAATGTTAATCTCATTCAAAAAAAACCTTCACAGAAACATCCAGAATATCTGACCAAATTATCTGCACACCATGGAGCAACCAAGTTGATACACAACCTTGATACAGGTGGTATCAACAAACTCCTCCCTGACCTCCAGTTTCTGTCCCAGGCCCTCTTCAGTACATTCAACACAGCAGTGACCCTGTTAGAGCTGCAGTCATACCACATCACAGCTCTACTCAAAACCCCAGTGCCCTCCACCAGCCAGGGCTGACTACTCAGGTGACCAGCGAAGTGCTCACAGAGAGGGAAGACAACTCCTGACGTAGCTCTGCTACCTGTCTTCTTCCTGTCTCCCTCTCAATCCCTCCTCTCCAGCTATGGGTAGGAGGTACAAAATGGATACTCAAATACTTTAATTAACGGTAAAGTTACCTAATAACAATAAGCTAAATGTTAGACAAAAAGGTTTTTAAAATATTTGTTATAATAATTTTTTTTAAAATATATCTTTATTGATTTCAGAGAGAGGAACGGAGAGGGAGAGAGAGAGAGAAACATCAATGATGAGTCATTGATTGAGCCCGCAACCCGGGCATGTGCCCTGACCAGGAATCAAACCCCAATCGCCTCGATCCTAGGTCAATGCTCAACCACTGAGCCTCGCCTGGCCAGGCTTGTAATAATTTTTAAAATGGGGCTTGTATTTTGTCTTTTCATTACTCTGAAATTTCATTTCTATTGCTTTTACAAAAACCTCAGTTCAGTCTGGCCAGCATGGCTCCGTGGTTGAGCGTCAACCTATGAACCAGGAGGTCACGGTTCAATTCCCCGTCAGGGCACATGCCTAGGTTGTGGGCTCGATCCCCAGTAGGGGGCATGCAAGAGGCAGCAGATCAAAGACTCATCATTGATGTCTCTCTCTTTCCCTCTCCCTTCCTCTTTCTGAAATTAATAAAAATATATTTGGGGGGAAAAAGTCTCAGTCCATAAAGGACTGGAAATTCTAAAACCTGGCCCTTAGTAGTCAAAGAGGCACTTAAATATGTACTTTCAGTTTCTGAGAGGTCAGCAACTCCCAGTACCACGTCACAGTGGCTGGCAGCAGTGTCGATTCGTCCTCTGAGCCTAGGGAGCGAGCGGGGGCAGTGAGGCAGCAGCCTGCGGGGTCACTCAGCGGAGCAGTGCTAGGGAACCAAGTGTGCAAAAGCATGGACAGAGCAGCCGCTTCAAAGCTGCACATGGTCTCTTTGTCCCCTCCCTGCCTCCAGGAAACAAGTTCACCGAAGATCCCAAGCCGCACCTGACTCTGCAAAGGCTTGAAACAGGCCTTGAAAACCTGACCCACCAGATCAGATAGAGCAACAGATAAGATCAACTTAACAAAATCGAAAACCAAAACCCACTCTCTCAACGAATGGTAAACGGCGCTGAATTCGGGGGGAGGGGCCAAGCAGCGACGCAGATACTCTGGAGCTAGAGGTGCTTCCCCACCGGGCCTTGAAAGAGGGAGCAGATGTTTCTACCCACCAGAGAGATCTAGGTCTTCTAAAAACAGAGGGCATCTTCTAATGCCTTTTTATTTCCACCAAAATCACATGAACAGACAACAGCTACTTAAGTCAAATAATAAAAGGAGGCCGAGCATTCATAAAACCGAACCAAAGATCCAACAGTCACCCTCCGTGGTGGTTACTCATGTTGAAAACTTTTGACCCCATAAAAACCCGCACGTGGGTGCTTACAACAGCTTTACTCATAGTTGCCAAAACTTGGAAGGCACCAAGTTCTTCAGTGGGTGAGGGATAGACTGTGGTGCAGCCACACATGGAGTACTACTGAGCCCTTCGAGAAAAGTAAGCCCGCCCAGCCGGGCGTGGCTCAGCGGTTGAGCAACGACCTAGGATCCAGGCAACTGGGGTTCCATTCCCGGTCAGGGCACATGCCCCGGTTGCCGGCTCAATCCCCGGTCTGGGGCGTGCAGGAGGCAGCGGATCAATGACTCTCTCATCATTGATGTTTCTTTCTATCCCTCTCCTTTCCTCTCTCGGAAATCAATAAAGATATATTTTTTAAAAAAACGGTGAGCCCTGGCAGGTCTGGCTCAGTGGTTAGAGCGTGTGGGCCCTAGGACTGCAGGGTCCTGGGTTCATACAGGCCAAGGGCACGGGCCTGGGCTGCAGGCTCCCTCCCCAGCCCCGCCTGGGGCGCCTGCGGCGGCAGCCAATCAATGTGTCCCTCTCACATGCATCTCTCTCTCTCCCCCTCTCTCTGAAAAGCAGAGGAGAGAACATCCTCGGTGAGGATTAAAGAAAAAAAAGAAGAGTGAGCTCTCCGGCCACGGAAAGACAATGCGGAAGCGGCCAATCTGAAAAGGCTGCCCGCCGGGACGCCCAGGGGAGGACCTTGGGGACCTCGCCGCTGGAAAGGTCGGCGGCCGCCAGGGGCGGGGCGCGAACGGGCGGAGCAGCGGCGTTTCCGGGGCGGTGCAGCTGCTCTGCGCGACACCAACGGGGGGCACACGTCCTCGCACGTCTGTCCAAACCCACCAGCGTTGTTAATCACGCACCCACGCCGGGTCATCGGCTGTAACNGCGGGGCCGGGAGGACGCCGGGCGAGGAGGAGCGCACGGCACTGTCCTTTGTGCTCCATTTTTATGTAAACCTAAGCTGCTTAGAAAAACAGCCTATTGACAAGAAACTAGAACTCCGCTTCCGGTAGGGAAAGGTCGGCCTGGTGTGGGTGGCAGGAGGGGGCTCGCCTGCGGCCAGCTCGCTTCGGGACGTACGGCCAGGCACCACCCGGGCGGCAGGCGCCAGGGACTCGCCCACGGG